CCACTCACACTTTCCTACTCTCACCCCCCACCCCCGCACCACAGTTCCTGCCGGCACTCCAGCAGTACAGGTCTAAAGACATAACGGTATAAAGTGATGCTTACCTTTCCTCATGTATCACAAGCTGCCAGTTAATTACGATTTTCTCTTTGTATTCATTATATTATTTCATTGATTTTTTAGGCATCAAGAGCAGGGATAATCTTCAAAGCGCGGTATTAGATGCAAGACAGGAGACTAACGATCTTCCAAATCTGTAGGCAATTTGTTGTACTAGTAAGGCAAAGACGATTTTTTACCATCCATCAAACCCACGCCTACATGAATAGCCAAGCCTACATTCGAATATGTATAGTACACCATAATTGAAACTGACGTTGTTTGATCGAGACAAACAGACAGATTGAACATTGAACTTTGACACTTTGTGGTTGTCAGTGTTTGCAAATCATAAGTATGACTGCATTAAGTCTGCATTACTTAATTTTAGTTGCATTTATCATGCCATAAAATGACCTCATTTTAATATATTGAAAATGCATTTAGGCATGAAATAAAATGACAATAACAGTTATTATGTTTATCAGAAGCTGGGGTGTTTATACTTTCAGCGCATGGTAAATTATAATTACTTGTGTCAATTATTCTTTAACTCTTTTATAGTATTTAAATGAGTTTATGTCTGCTTCTGCTTTTTCCACCTTCTTGCTGAGTATCTTAAACAGTCTAAGGCCTTGCTTTGTGACCGTACTGGTCTGTGTAAAGTCATGTATAATACAAGCCAAACTTTCGGACAGAAAGTAAAATAAAGACGAATTTAATTGCAACAAAATAATTTTAATAAGAATTAAAAGTGTTTATGTTGCTCTTAAATCTATATCACCATCGTTATCAACATCATAGTCATTGCCATCAACATCATCATCATCCTTATCAGCAACAACATCCTCGTTCAATATCATCAATATTTCAATATCATCATCGTTATAATCATCCATATCGTCGTCAAAATCGTCGTCGTTATTCTTTCAATGTTCATTCCATGTCGATAAGTTCCATGTCATCAGTAGCAGAAACGGCAAACTCATGCGAACGAATCTGCATAGCATAGTCGTGATCTGAATTGAAAATGAAATTTTATGCTGCAAATTAGGCACCGGTATGACTACTATATAGTCGTCGATGTCATCATCGCAAACATCATCAAAATCATCATCACCACCACCATCACTAACGTCATTATTTTATTCTTTTTTTTCAATTCATATGTTGATGATTAGTCATCGGCTCAGGGGTGGCGCCAGCGAAGGAGATGAAGCTTAAGTATCCTTTTAAAGGAGGAAGTTGCCAATCCCGCATTGCATTTAATAGTGAAAGGAAGGGAGTTCCAGTAGCTCCACAACACCCAATAAAATTTCTACCATGGTTCCAAGTAGCTTTATAGGGGTAGATGTTGTATAAACCCTTTCCGGCCCAAGAGGTGATAGAGATTCTATTACAAATGAGATCGATAACCGGAGGAGGATCCAATGAATAAAAGCATTTAAAAATAAAAAGAATAATGGAATTGCCACCGTGTAGAGAGGTCCATCATGTTAAGTTCTCGTAGCGGTTCTCGAAATGAAGTTATGGGACTTAAGCGTTTGATAAACCTGATCCCTCTATTAAAGATAATATATAAAGGATGAAGAATGAAATTATAAGTCTGAGACCAAGCAACACTACAATATTCTAAATATGGACGAAGAAGACTGTTTAGCAGGGTGATTTTAACATCAAGTGGGAGGAAACCTAAAATGACACAGACATCTAAGAGCAGATTTAATGCTAACATTTAATGTTCTTGGAATGTTAGTTTTTCATCTAAGACGACCCCAAGGAGTTTAGACGAAGACTTAACTTCAAGAACTGAATTATTAATGATAATTGGATGAATCTCACTACGGATTTTATTATCAAAAACATGGAATATGTTTTTTTCGTATTAACTTTTAAGTGTTTATCAGAAGCCCAAGTATCAATGATTTTGAGGTCAGTTGAGAGGTTATGTGTTACAACTTCGCAATTCGGTCCGGTAGAGTATAGAGTATTGTCACCTGCATATTGCAGTAAGGAACAAGAACTGATTATTGAAGGCTTGTCATACAAATAAATTGAAAAGAGAAGCGGACCCAAGAGAGATCCCTGCGGGACGCCTCGTAATACAGGAGTCCAATGCGAAAGAGAATCACAGCATTTCACTCATTGAACTTAATCAGACAAGAAATTGGTGAACCATGATGAGCATTTACCATGAAAGCCAATCGAATGTAATTTTTGAAGAAGAATTGAGTGACTAATTGAGTCAAAAGCCCGAGAGTAATCAATCATGACAGCACCTATAACATGATTTTTGTCGTATGTCAACCTGGCTTCGTTGACGAACTTAACTAGTACATCCTGGACCGAATGGGCAGGTCGAAAGCCAAACTAACAGGACGAAAGTATTGAATGTTTGTCACGAAAGTTAAAGTTTTGCTCATAGATGATTCTCTCGTGAACTTTAGCAATTATGGGCATGATTGAAATTGGTCTATAGTTGCTTATATCAGTATACGAACCCCCTTTGTGAATGGGTCGAATAACTGCTGTCTTCCATTCCAGGGGTAAGACACCCTGGGTGATGCACAGATTGAAGATAAAAGAACGTGAAGAGGCAGTGGCAGGAGAGCAGCCAACTTAAGAGATAAAGCATAAAGACCATCGGGTCCAGATGACTTTTTGTTATCCAACGAGGAAAGAATTGTTCAAACCTGGTCCAGAGTTGTTGGATGAAATTCGGATAGACGATTGGAAATAAAAGGAAGTTTCGATAAAACGGAGACATCAATAGGTTTAACAGGAAAAAAAGAAGCAGCAGAAGTAAGAAATGGTTAAAGGCATTAGCAATGGATCCGGAGTCTGAAAGGCATGATCCGTCGACGTTTATGGATTTAATTGATGTTTTCTTGCTTTGACGCCCGGTAATCTTATTGAGATGTTGCCAGAGCTTGGAAGGATTACCCTTTGATTTATAACATATACTGTTTAGGAATTCTGTTTTATTATTACGAATTAATGAGGTGATTCTGTTCCTAATTTCTTTATATTTCAGCCAATCACTTTCATTTTTAGTCTTTTTTGCTTTCTTAAAAAGTTGCTTGCTGTATCTCATTAAGCCTCTAATTTCAGAATTTATCCATGGGAGGGTGTTCTTTCTAGGTCTAAACTTCTTAATTACATAATGTTTATCGAGAACATGTGTAAGAAGCATTATTTCTGCAAACATCGTTTTAACAAAATGACAAGTGATTTTTTTTTAAATTAAAATAAAATGTAATTTTATAAAATACCTGTATGTATTGATAGGGGCATCCCAAGGAGTGGCCAAACATGAGACGAAATATATATATTTATTAATTCCGCACATATATATAATACATGGCAATACTTATGAAATACATGTTATCGTGAGAATGATAGAGGGGGCTAAACATACACAATAAAAGAACAAATACAAATTTAAAAAAAAAAAAAACAGTATTTTAAAGCTTGTTCATGCTAGCCAATACAAATTCTTTCCTGTGATCGCTCAAAATGAATACTTCTAAAATATGTAAATATACATCAGCACACGTTATACATATGCCTAATAGGCCTACAAAGTTATAACACATAGGCCTAAGCGTGATTTTTTTTACGCAAATTACAATACAAATTGAACATGGTATGTTATAAATCATTTTCCTGTCCTACGCTACATTGTGATAGTTATAATAGTCAACTCCGAAGATGGCATGTCACTTTTTTGCAAAAACACATAAAAGCAAAGCAAAAAGTTTGGAGTTGATTTAAATGCTGTACAATTTCTAATTGACTCCATCTACTATAGGTTTTTGAACCGTGCTCTGATAGAAACCCACCATAACCGTCTATTAATAAAAAGTCACCGGCTAACCTGATAGTCACCCAGTGGAATATTCGTTAGATTAATCAATTTTTCACTATACACGATAACACAAAAAATAATATGTTCGAGTTATAACGGCTACAGCTCAGAGGGTGGATTTATCTTTTAAGATACAGAAATATGATATTGTATGGTTCAGTTTTTTTTTTTTTTTATCATTTTGCAAGGTTTTATAAAGTTTTGTTAAATAATACCACTACTAACTACTAGCCTACTACTACTACTAATAGTACGGTGGTAGTAGTAGTAGTAATATTAATAATAATAATAAATAATAATATTAATAAAGATAATAATAATAATAATAATAATAATAATAATAATAATAATAATAATAATAATAATAATGACGATGGTGATAATGATAATAGATAATAATACTACTAATAATATTAAAGAGTGAAGAAAATTGTGCTAAAGGCGAAAAAGACTATAGTTAGGCCTAAGTTGTCCTCAATATTAAGTAGATCCCTGATTTAAAAAAAATCATGAGAAATTTGTTGGCGCTTCATTTTGACTATATAATTGTGATGTGATGATGATGAATTTTACTACAGTATATAAAAGTGTCACATTCGGCCATCTGAGGTAATATTTCCTCAAATGTGTCGGACCTCAGCCATCTGGGGCTGAGGTGGTTGTGAAATCACGGCTTTGAAGTAGGCCTATGTAAAGTACACTAAAAGACAGTGTTTATAAAGTTTATTTTCTATTGTACATCACACATATTAATAAGACCTCTATGGTTGCTGAAAATCCCTGATAAAAGATCATGAGAAATTTGTTGGCGCTTCATTTTGACTAGGCTATATATATTAATGATGATGTGATGATGATGAATTTTAAGCTACTAAAAGTGTCATTTATGACCATCTAGAGGTAGTACTTTCTCAAATGTTCGCATCTCAGCCCAAACCTCACCAAATGTCCCCCTCCACCTTTCAAAATAGATCTGCACTCTTCCTTGAGTATTACATTATTAAACTCCATTGAGTCGGCACCTGACTCAGAGTATGTCCTGGTGACTGCTAGGCGAGGGTGCATAAATTTGTTTTTAGGATGTGATCGGCTTTCATGCCCATTTTTCATGATTATGACTACAGTATTTTGGATAAAGAATGTTTTGAGAATTGGTGGATTTAAGGACCCCCACCCCTGGCTTTTCTTAATGGAATAAGTAAAGAAAATTATATTCAAATTTAAGTCTGAGAGTGTAATTTCCGGGCATCTAGAGGTGTCCTAATCATAAAATTTCTTACCTCAGCCTCAACCATGGCTTGTAGTGGGTGGTTCCTCATTCTGTGAAAATCCCTCCCTGGGTCACCTCACTTTCGAATTTCTGGATCTACCACTGTTCAGTTATTATAATTATTGTTAGCTTACTAATATTTGTGACTCAAGATCACAAAAGGGCTGTAAACTCTATCAAAATGTTTTTTGTTTGTTTGTTTGTTTGTTTGTTTTTTTGTTTTTTTTTTGTTTTTTTTTTTAATAGAGCACATCATTAACTTTATAATTAGGGCTCAACGACCTTAATCGGAGAAATATGTGTAAAGTTAAGCTATTTTGAATTATAATTATTCTCTATAAACTGGCCTATAAAGTTCTGAGCAAAAGGGCTTTAAAAGTCCTGAAGAAATTGAAGACAAATCACAGCAGCAGTCAAAGAAACTCCTTTGCAACAACACAGTTCCCATTGAGCTATTGCGATTTTCTACGGTTTGCTGGAAATAGGTTTGGGAATAGAAATCTTCTATTTTTAAGTCAATACCCCAGGGGTTAATTGGTGATACCCGGGGGAAAATTGGTTATACTTTTATAAAGCTGAAACATCCACGTACTGATTATGCCATCCCTATTGTTCTGATGAATTTAGTAGACATAAGAAGTGTTTTATTCGTCAAGCCTTATTGGAGAGGGTGTTTTGTCGGGGTGTGGATGAAAAAGGGGCGGGGTGGGGTTATGGTTCAGAATTATCAATATTTACAAGTAACGCACCCCCCCCCCACCCAAATCGAAAAACGTCCACTAATTATAACCACAAAAATGTGACCTTGTTCCCAGAATCATTATAAAATGAATCGCATATCAGTACAGTATTAAGATTGTATGAATGTACAAATGAGTTACAATAAGAATACAAGAGCGCTGACTCCACACTCGCAATCTTTTGTAGCCTACTGCCAGCAACATAACACAACAAACATACACACGTTATATGCACGTTATCGTCTAGGTGTATCTTCCCCTAACTACCAGCCGGTATGTCAATGTATAGCAATGAAGTCAAAATGCTAGAATGACAAACCGGTTTAGACAAATAATCGTTCCTAGCGCTCTCAGAAATACGCTGAGACGAGTATACTTGACACTGGAGCGCGCACGTGTTAAAAAATGGTTACGAATTTATACAGTAGTATTTTTCATTTGGGAAACAATTTGCTTGTTTCTCCACGTCCTCCACTGGTAATTTTTTGATAGGCCCTATCGCTGTGTTCACGGACATATAGAGAGTAACATGATAAAATATATGCCTTCAAATTAGTCTACAGGACGTAAGAAAGCAAATTTTCCGGGGCCTTCGGCCCCTGTAACCCGACCGGGGCCCTGGGCGGCCCCCTGGCCCCCAGGCTGGTTGCTCGCTGCGCTCGCAAAACGCACCCCCCACCCCCATTCAAAAAGCTGGATACGGTCCTGGGTAGATCACAATAACTATTTCCTATCTTCTTTAATATCAAAACATTTAGCGTTATTTATGCGTCCGCAATACTTTTAATGCTAGGCCTAACCTTTCTTTGTGACCAGTGATCCAAATCAAATTATGCCAAGGGATGGGAAATTACGCTAAATTATACCAAATGTTAAAAGAGAAAAGGCCGTCCGGGTTCTCCCAGGGAAAATTTTGAACCCTTGATTAGGAAATGAGCTTTCTTTTGAAGTTTCTTCAAAATTAAAGGTTCCCTCTTGAACCTACGGTGATGTAGGCCTGAATTTTTCTCATTCGAGGCCTATGTGTGGCCTAGAATGTGGCCTTGCATACGTAGGCCCTATAGGCCTATTATTTTTTCCATGAGTCGATGAACCATAAAAAGAAAGGGGTTGGGGTCCTTCCCTGGGAAAAGTTTCCTAGATGGCGGGAAGCTTCCCGACACTAGCTAATTTTCTCCGTATAACAAATCGCGGGTCCTGAAAAAAGGTAGGGCTAGATATTTTTTTTTTTTTTTTAAATTTCTGGAATGGAATACAGTACAGTATAAGTTATAACATTTCATTCTGAGAAATAATTCCAAGCTTAATATAACAGGTCTATAAAATACATTCTTCTTGCACAGGCCGGACGTGCCTGGTTTCTTGAAAAGTCCAATGGAATATGGAACGCCGTTAGTATCTTCGGTTATGTGCAAACACTCTATTATGTGCAATCGCCATGACGTTATGTGGAATGGTCATGACGTTATGTGGTTTGGTCAATATGTTATGTGGATTGGTCATTATGTTATGTGGTTTGGTTATGATGTTATGTGGTTTCTCTTCATGTTATGTGGTTTGGTCATGATGTTATGTAGTTTGGTCATGATGTTATGTGGTTTGCTCATTATGTTATGTAGTTATGCACATTATGTTATTGTAGTTTCGACATGATGTTCGGACGTCCTTGCAGAGTAGGAGAAGTGTTAATAAGAAGACGGCTGTACAAGTAAGCCTATATCAAGTTTCATTTGAAACTTCTGATTGGCCGAGAGCGAGCGGGAAGTCCACACTAGTATTTTTACCACCGCACCGGAGTTTTATTTCACACAAGCAAAGATTATATTCTGTAACAGAAGAGAGCCCGCCGCTATTCTTAATACACGCGAGTCAGCGTGATGCCCTATCCGCTGTCAGAGCCGTAGATAGAGAGAGTTTGGCCAACTCAGTTCAGTTTCACCGGATTCGATATACGTGCGCGCGTGTGATATTGGGTGGACCGCAATCACATGACTTACACCTGCCATGTTGTCACCAAAAGAAAACGTTAAAGCTATACGCGCGCAAGCGCCTGGGCTGTTTGGTAACGACATGGCGTCCATGCGCCAACTTGGCCAAACTCTTTATATCTTCGGCTCTGTCCGCTGTATGGGGGAAACGCCCCTAGCGTCTGTTGTGGATGTATGAGTGATGGCAGCATATAAAAACAGTAATTTAAGACCTGTATTTGGAAAAGAGTACATAAAGTCAAATTATTATATCCGTTTTTAAACGAAACATAAAGGCAAGACTTTATAAGAATAACATTATTGGAAAATATGCTATATATTTTGTGGGTTTTTAGAAAGTTTACTTTAAATTACGCTAGTATTTTGAATGTTGATAAAAGAAAAAGCCAGGGAGCTTATAAGAACAAAAATATTTTATAGGCCTCCCTATATTAGAAGACGACATTCACCCATTCCTTCATAGATATTCGGAATTTGTAATTCTTATTAAATGAGAAGATATGGTCAATGATGTGTTTGCTTTGACTATGACTATGTTCTCCAGCCCTTCCTCAGTCTGGTATGTAAATATAAGGTTTTCTCTTCAAACAAATTAATGTATAAAACAATAGGAAAAAGAAAAAATCGGAAACACCAAAGTAACTTTCAAAATATTGTACTTTATTTTGTATTTTCCACACGAACTTCAAATACTTTCACAAGCAAATGAGAGTTAGGTAATGATGAGGAAAACATCCATCTTGATACCTTAAAATCCCGGATTTACATGATAAATGAGAAAAAAAAATCATCCATCTAACTGTTAGTGACCCAGGCATTGTCTGTGATGAGGTATTGCCACCACATAATAATCAGGGGCGAATCCAGGATTTGAAAGGGGGTGCTTCAAAATGAAAAAAAAAAAAAAAAATCCATTCCTAGGCCGGAAATGAGCTTTTTTTTTTTTTTTAATAACCTTTAAGTTCTTTAAAATTCAAGGTTTTCTCCTGTTGAAAAGATCAGTAAGCAAGTAAGTAACTTTATTGCTTCTCTTAAATAACAGATGCACAAACATATAGGATGGGCAACAATAACAAAATCAGTATAAACTTAATTACTTAAAAATACTTAATATTATCTCATTCTTCAGGACTCTATAAAGATAAAAAAAAAAGACATAGTGAGTGGATCTCCTGTACGGGTTTGGTCTACGGGAGTTCGTGCTTCGAACAGGTCATTCCATTCATAGAAAATTCCTTGATTCGTTGTGTAGGTGGCCCGGGACTCAGGCGGTGATCCAAAACAACGATTAAACAACACCAAAAAAGCACATAATTTGCTTCAAGGGGTCATTCAAGTATTATGTAACGCAGAGGGGGGTGGGCGGTATAGTGGCAAATGTTACAGTGTGTGACATAGGGGTGGGGGGTGTTGCTTGAAGTGTTACATAACAAAATTAAGTTTCATGGGAAGAGAAGAAATATTAAATACTCAAACTTGTATGATATTACTTTATTGAAACATATTACATCAGTGTAATACAATGTAATGTAACACAGTTGTGTTGAATTTGTGAAGTCAATAAACAATGAAGTTACGTCTACCATATCAACAAATAACAAAACATCCTACAAATTTGTAGTGTAGGACAAATTTGTAGTGCAGGACATGATATAGTCTTACTTGTACAGCCGTCTTCTTATTCACACTTCTTCACATACTCCACAAGGACGTCCGAACTTCATCTCGAAATTACCTAACATAATGTGCAAACCACCACATAACATAATGAGCAAACCACATCGTCATGACCAAACTACATAACATCATGACCAAACCACATAACATATGACAAAACCACATAATATAATGACCAAACCACATAACATAATGACCAAACCACATAACATAATCATATAGAGTGTTTGCACATAACCGAAGATACTAACGGCGTTCCATAATGGAATGCGTGAATTACAGGTGCTACATGGCGATAGCAGAGGAAGGGGAATTCCCGGATTTTTTTTGTACGCTTTCAACCTCTGACATGTAACATTAATATTAAAAATTGAATAGGCCTAGTATCAAAATATTCCAAACATTTTAAATATCTTTACCTTTCTTTCCGTTTTACTTAATTTACTTAGATGTTTCAAATATTTTCTTTAGGACTGTAGGTATCATATAATAATTATTTAATAAAGAATATATGTGTGCATAGGGCATAAACTTTTATATAAGGCCACTGTCAGTCACCATTTAATTCGTTGAATTGCCATAAATATCATAAGCATTAATTTCCTGTTTGATGTTCTCTCCGGCAGTTGTTTGTGATTTGAAATCAAGGAGAAAGTGAAGTGATTGTTGACAGAAGATATCATACGAAATAGGCCTATTAATATATATAATTATATTAATTCATAGAGCTGCAATTTTTAAGCGCAGACTTTAATTTGCAGAGAGGATTAGACCTAGTCCTGGCATCATAAAGAACGGAAGATAGGAATACGGTTCCTCCAGAGCTCTGACCTTCGGCAGAAGATGCAATCATCATGACGGTAAAGACAACTGTGTGAGATTGTGCTTTTAATAGTTAAAATCGGTTGACATTGACTTGAATCAATTGATATTAAAATAAATTCCAGTAGCTAGCGTAGCCTAGGCCTAGCCCATAAAATAGGCCGCCTATCTATTATAGGCTTTTTCACGAATCGGTAGACACCATGAAGTGATGACAAACATTGCGAATCAGCTTTTCTCTCCTTTTTTCTTCTTTTCATTCATTTTCCTTTCTTTATTTTCCTTTTGTGTTCGTTTTATTCTCCTTTTTCCTTTTCTATACATTTATTATATCATTTTTTACCTTTCTTTTTCTTTTATTTACCTTTATTTAAGTCTTTTCCCTTTTCATTTCCTTATATTTTTATTCCTATCTTTTCATTTCTTTCCCTTCCTTTTTAATTAATTTTTTTCTATTGTTTTTTCCCTTCTTTTCACAAAATGGATGACACTGTATTTATATTTCTTATAGGAAGTTCATTGTGATGCAGGGTAAGTTAATTTTTCATGTTTTCTTTTATAATTTTAATTCAGTTGACTTGAATAAGACAAGACGATTTATGTCTATAGCACACATGTCTGCGCTTGTGCAATGGTACTTTGCTGCCAGTCTTTGCACGCCGGAAGTAGAGAATACAAATGCTATGAGCACCTTTGTCAAATACAAGCACAATATTTGTTTATTATTTTATTACAGATCTCCCTCTATCTTTATCTGTAGGCTATTACTTTACTTAGAAACCCCAGTCCCAAAAAGTGGTCATGTGAAATCATAAAAACATAATCATATGTTGAATAAATATCGCTTGATTTTTCACTCTGTAAGAGAATATGTATTGAATGACCTAAAGAGTGAATTTACCAATCCACAAGAATAGTGTTGAATATTTCGTCGCATCAACGACACATCAGTAACTGAGACAGGAATTAGGCAGGCCAGGTCTTATATACTGTGCTAATGAGGTGTTGGAAAGTATTGAGAAGAAAGAAAAAAAAAAAAAAAAAATCAGGTAATAAGGAAAGCGTCAATAAGCTCATTCTTACGGTTTATAGAGGGCCTAATACGATTGATACATTGTGCTTCCAACACATGAAGGTGCACTTCATCTTTGGGCGCTCTTCTGACGACGGAAACCAATATACATGGGGTCTTTCACGGCAGGATGAGATTCACCAAAGTGCGCGCCGAGCGCAGAGGTGGTGCTGTGTTTACGATGTATCAATCGTATTAGGCCCTCTAACCATAAGAATGAGCTTAGTGACGCTTTCCTTATTATTTGATTCTTTTCTTCTTTTTTTTTCTTCTCAATACTTTCCAACACCTGTTACCTTATTAGCGCAGTATAAGACCTGGCCTGCTTAATTCCTGTCTCAGTTGCTGATGTGTCGTTGATACGATGAATCAACACTATTCTTGTGGATTGGTTCATTCTTTAGGTCATTCAATACATAATCATAATCATATGGTTTTCATCGTTTTTATTGTTATTTTATATTTACTTATTTTATTGAACTCGCCTAGGTGTCGATTGTAGGGGTGTACATTGGGGAAGGGGGGTGTGGGAGTTTCCACCCATCAAAAGAAATACTTTTGGCCCCCAAGTTGTCCCCCCACCCTCATTAAAAATTTTCAAAAGCAAAAACATTACGCTCAAGTAGTCAGTAGTTAAAAATCACCATATTTTTCTCACCTAATTATAGAGACCCCCACTTCACATTGGCGCCCCAGCTTTTTCCCCCATCAGCCTTTGCCCATCAGCTTTTCCCCATCAGCCTTTAACCCATTAGCTTCTCCCATCAGCCTCCCCCATCAGCCATTGAGTCACCTTAAGAAAACCCAGTAGCCAATTCTAGGGGCTGTCTAAACAAAAAATATGCCATTAAATGCTTGCACCTATAGACTGAAAACCTCACAGTCAGCTGGGGTATCTGCATGGCTGGCGAAGAGTGGAAAACACTGTACCAAAAATCACCTTCATTGCTATTTTCTTAATTGTTTTTTCTCAGCCAATATCGTGATGGGGTCTCTAATCTTTGTTACCCGTGCGTGAACTGCAGCAATGAAGCTTATAATGCTGGTCGTATTCAAAATGCTTGCATGTTAACAGAACCATGCCCTCGATGGTGTGGTGCCCGTGATCAGCCCAGAACAGGAGAAGAACCACATGACTGTGCACCAACAACAGCACACCAACCCACAACGCCCAGGCCAACAACTGATGGATACACTACTGGTCTGGAACGTAAGTTGCACTTCAGGGAGGTAGTACCCTTGACCCTACATATTTAGAATTAACCACTACTGTAGATGCACATTGAATTAATATAAGCTTGCAGAAAGTGGTATAAGAGGTCCATATCCAGGGGAATGCTATGGGTGCATATACCTCCATGGTCTATGGCACTTCTAGAAAGGCAAGGTCAGACTCAAAATTTGAAGGTACATGATTCTCTTTTATTTAACCCCCATTTAATTTTTAGTTTGTAAAAATTATGGCGACTCATGGTTGCTATTCCACCAATAAGATTATGGATGGAAGATGATTCGCCAAATTACGACATCTTGGATCTCGGCATTCGATATACAGGAGGGGAGGGGGTGCAGACGAAAGATTTTTGACAGATGGAGATTTATGCTACCTCAGCCCAAACATAGTTAGGGCTGAGGTACGAAATTTGTATGTATATGGCACTTCTAGGTGGCTGATGACACTGTCGGACTCAAAATTTGAATGTAACATTCGATGTTATCCCTATTTGTTTTATATTTTCTAATTTATGGCTCCCTCCTAATTTTTGAAATTTATTCAATAATCCAGGTAAAAGCAATACAAGAGAAAACATGGAAACAAAATGTACATTACCTGATGATTACCACTTCCATTGCAAGTGGCTCTCTTATACTAAACATCTTTACATAAAGAATACATAAAAAAAAACTAATTTAAAAGATTCTATCAGATCAGTAATAAAATATTGGAATTAGAATATAATGCCAGTTAACAATTTATAGTGAGTTTAGTTATTATAATCACACTGTTGTAGGACAAGAAAAAATAATTGAATCATGAAAAAATTGTTATAATCTAGTGGACCCCCAAATTTTTCATGGACACACACCCACATTTTTCGCGGACCATCCCTTTGACCTGGCAGACCCCCAATTATTATTAATATTTCTTCTTAACCCTCCCCCAAAAAAATAACCCCTCTCAGTGAACAACCCCACCCCCATGACAAGCCTCTATGATGTGGCCCAATAAGATCGTTATAATAAAATATAAAACCAGGCACATTGATATAGCTCCTCTGCTTTAAAAATAACCCACAGAAGAATGGCAAATTTAGCTCTAGCAATGAAGGGTTTAAGGTTAGAAATCAAGTTTTTTGTGACTATATCATGTATTAGCTACAGAATGGTAATACAGAACTGTTATAGGCCTTTATCTTAATTACTGTAGGTTCTACAACAGATTTCATTGCTACAAATGCAACAGTTACCAATCCACCACCATCTTACAATCAAACGAATGTGGCTGGTAAGTCAATATTTTAAATTTGTCCGAGACCATGTAGCAGTTGAGTACAGACGTGGCACCAGACAAGATTTGGGGATGGGTCTTAAAAATGGTCTTTTATCTGTACATTCTTAATGCGGTCTGGAAGAGAATTCCAGAGTGATGGTGCAGCGAAAGATAATACACAGTGACCATAGGTGATGGTTTTCAAGAAACGTGAGCAACATTTTCTGGAGAACACTGTGATGCTAGTACCGATATAGGTTAATTGTAGCCGTCTTGTCTGAAACATACAGCAATTGTATTGACACTCCAAACAATAACCATAACTGAAAACCAAATTATGCTATTTAAATTGTGAAAGTATAAAATTGCTTTTCTATCTTCATGCTCTCAAGTTAAAATGTAATTTCATATTTGGACTTGCCAAATATTTAAAAATAAAAGAACTTAAACATGCTTTTAAATTGATGTATAAAATTGTAAACTTTTTTGTTCCAATATGAAAGTTTTCAGTCATTGTATTATTATTATTATTATTATTATTATTATTTATTTAGGCACACAATACATGTGCCAAGGATTGTCAATAGCGAATATATCACTGTCCTACTTGTAGGTGACAATCTCTTACACAAGACAAACATACACACACGATGCTTTACACAAACTAATTTTTGCCAGACACTTTTGCCTTCTTCAGCGGGTTGCTGTTGTTTCACGGTCTGTGACAATTGGTACATATCGCTGCAAAACAGCGTTAAGTGTAAATGGGAACAAAAATTGTACATTATACTACCAACGGATGAATTCAGCCATTTTCCATAGAATTGCTACACAGTTGCTACAGGGTTTTCACTGCAATCGCAATCGGGAATGCCTCCTGACACAACTGACCAATCAGTGTCATCAGAGGATTCAGAGATAGCGTGTAGCGATTCTTTTTTTGGAAACCCAGCTTTCTTATCAATGCTTTTAAATCATTAAACATTAAACAATATAAGTAATGTATTTGAAATTTTAAATATACTGTATCTGGATTTCTTTTGATATATTTTATACTTTTATTAAAGTCATTTCTGTTGTTGCCCTACTTGGGGTTGCGGTGCTGTTTGTATGCCTTCGTTCTTGTGTAAGAAAAAGATGTCATAGACTAAGAAGTAAGTACTAGCTAGAATTTTTAAAATGAAAACTACAGTATACCCCTGAAATAACACCAAATACATGAGCCGTCACTCATGATTAATGATGTTGAAACAAAATATAAGATGGTTGTGAATCAATATTTCGTTTTGTTGAGAAGATTTTGTAGACTAAGAGGTAAGTGCTAAATTAGACTTGTGAATATCTTTCATCATTTTGTTCCTTTGAGCTTGTGGTATAGCCTCACAGAGATTTTGGTTTAACTTGTCAATGTTATCCAAATAACACATACAGGTATATCCTTCCAATTAAACAACTACTCTAGGGACCAAGGTTGTGATGGTCTTTAGCAGTTGGTCCTTATTTATAAATGTAAAGATGATAAAATAGGTGTTAATTCATGCCACAGAGAGGCAGTCTCTAATTGGAGGGGTCTGTAATTAGATGGAAATCTGTATATTTATTAGGCATGCCTAGTTTGGGTTAAGTTTGCTTTGGTAAGTAGTTTAATGATCCTGTCTGTGTTGTATCTACAAGTCTTGAAGTGGGGGGTGCTGATGGGGGTTCGCAAAAGGTGAAGTGTGGTTGAGGGGCACACAAAATAAAAAAGGAGATTTTAGGTAAATTTTAACTACTAGACCATAATGTATGGGGATGTGACTGGGGGTGGGGCATGATTAATTTTTGGAGGGGAGTGCACATCCCCCTAGATAATAATAATAATAATAATAATAATAATAATAATAATTCTGGATTTATATAGCGCCTCACTTTGACACAACCTCGAGGCGCTTGAACATTATTACCCCAGATCATAGATACGCCACTTGATCCTGTACAAGGATGCATTGATTAAATTTTTTTTTTTTTTTTTTTTTGTATAAATATTTTTATTTAACAATTCAGCAGGCGAAATAAATGTGATGTTTCTTCTATTATTACTATACACTTGAAATCATTATGTATTTTATTTCCTAATAAAATATTGGAAACTCTTTTTCAGTTAAATACATGGTCAAGTTGAGAACGGTTATGGTATACACTGATTCCTGGCATCTGAGGTTAGAGCAGGAAAGTCGTGAAAATGTCTGGCTAAGGCATCGGTTCTGGTTGACAGTAACCAATTCTCAGACCAATGAAACAGTTAAGGAAACGGAATGGGAAAATATTGACGAAAAAATGAAAATTGATCTACCGTCCAGCGGCTTGTTTTATGCAAAACTTGGAGTCAGTGACATGGAAATAATCTCAAATGTCAGCTGGATTCACAAATTGGAAATTACAGTTCCTAGTAAGTGTTTAATGGCAAAAATTCTCAAAATCTCAAATTTACATCCAAAGTCTAGGCACATACTTCACCGATTTTTGCCAAGGTGCGTGCAACAGATCGTTTTAAATCACAATCCCCTTAACTTGCCAACAACAATCAGTAGACATTGTTTACAGAGATTTGTACGCGGCTGACGTACAGTTGTGCCAGCCAATGAGGTGCATTCCTGGCTTTAGACTCGTGTCTTACATGGCAACAGAGCACCATAAGGAGAAATATGAATTTTCAATTTTTGCAAATTGGTATAAAGGCTAGCACCCCTTTTTGATGGATTCAAAGTTACATCAGCAGTGGCATCATCATTTAACTGACAGCAGTTTGTTCATCGTTTGTGGACAGATGGCAGGGGGGTGGGGGAGAGGGGTGGGGTGAATATGTATTAAATTAACACACATTTTTATATTTATATCTACTTTTGCCTTACAGTACTTCCATTATTTTTTTTTCTTCTGCCACAGATCAACCCTGTAATTGCTCACTTGATGATTTGAAGAATACCGAGTCCAGCCCAAACTCAATCTACAGTCGCCTATGCATTGACCTGAATAGTTCTTCACCGAGTATATGGAAAATAGGTCGGGCTATGGAAAGAACTCAACCTGTCATTGAGTTTTTACTTTCTGAGCAAAGGCCGTTTGTTGCGCTACTTGATAATGCTATGACAGAATGTGATGATGTGAGCGTATCCCATATAATCATGGGACTATCAAGTGGCAAGATAACAGATAAGGAGCAACGTGTATTGTCCTACCTGTCAGATTGGCATAGGTGCGTCATGTGCCAACATATTAAGGCATATAACACTGGAGTTCCATTGCCAACAGTTGCACCTGATATCAACGGGGTGGTTTAAGAGACGTCAGGAGAATAGATCAACATCCATATCATAGCTAACAACAGGGGAAGTAGGCATCAGGCACGGATCCATTAGGGGGCATGTGGGTGGGGCATGTTCCTCCCGACACCCCCCCCCCCCCAAATATACCTAGAGCAAAATGGGAAACTTAGGCATTTAAGCTATTATGAGAAGGCCGAAATATTTTCCCCATTTTTTTCTCTTTTTCTTTTTTGGTCAATTGGGTCTTTAATAAGTCCTCTTCCCACCAGCCGGTGCCAAAAAACTATAATTTTACAGTAGAGTAAATTTTTTTGAAATATTGTGCAACTTCAGGAAAACAGGGGCTCCAGAATTATTAGAGTACAAAGCTTCAGAATCGATAGAAAATCTGTAGTTTTCAGGTAGGAGTTTTAGTAAAATTCATAATTATTAAAATGGATAAGAACAATCCGTTGGTATTTGGTATCTGGTACTCAATAAAAGAAGGTATTTTCAAATCGCATGCCTGGCCATAGGTAACCATGCAAACTGTGTAACTTTGCAATCAAAACTTGAAATGGCTAATGTGGATAGATGGTTTGCTCTTTTATATAATAAAACAAATACAGCATGGGATTATTCGGTAAAAAACTCAAGAAGTAAAATTTACTACTTTACCTCAAACCATGTTGTACTTCTATATTCACTGCTTTTTTCTTGCATAAAGTAGCCTTAGATCCTATAGATCTTAGAGCAGGATTTAAAAAAAACAGATTTTTTAAATTTTCGTTTGTGCAAGTTGTTCACTACCTAATAATAACAGTGATCTTTTATCACTAGAACTTTTTTAATGTATTGTAAAGTTTTATGTATTAACAGCATGTTATTCGAAGATTTTTTAAAAATATAAATTTTAGATATTAATTAGAAAAATTTCTCACAAAAAAAAAAATAACCCCACTCCCAAGCCTCATAATGAAACCTATTTGATGTAGAGCAGCTTGTCTGTACATTTGTGTTGTTAAAGGC